ATTGCCTTCACCTTTTTTTTTTTTTCATAATAGTTTCTGGACTGGTACAGTGGTATTTTGTTGCTTATGGGTTTATAAATGACTTTTTAGTGCATTTAAGAATACTCCCTAGTTTTCTTGGTTTGAAATCCAATGGGTGGGACAGTTTCTTGACTTTAAAGCACACTGATTGAATGAGTGGTTGAGGCAGCTGTCGGTCGGCTTTATCAGTCTCCTTCAGCAGTGGGTGCAGCACCTAATGACTGTTTGGAGGAACAGTGCTGAAACCGAATTTTGTTCTTGGACAGTAACCCAGTAGATCTGATGGCCTTTTGTTGCCTTGAGGTTTGATTCCCCCTAGCCCCAGTAGAATTAAGACTTCTGATGTGGAAAGCTTGCATGGATTTGCACAGAACAGAGCCTAGAGGGACATGAAACCTGCTGATTGTTTGGTAATCAGCCCTAGTGTGAGAAGAGGGGAAATCTTGGTGCCATTAATTTCTCTCTTCATTGGTGTTGGGCTTTGACCGGATGAAATTTCTATACCACAGTGCAAAATTCAATCAAAGTTGGCTTAATTGTCTAATGAGACAGAGAGAGAGATTTACCAAGAATGGAAAAAAGTGCTGCTCATTATTTTCCTTGTTCGGAAAATCGCTACCTTAAATGAAGTTAACAACTATTTATTTATTCATTTACCAACGGTGTCTCCTTACACAGACAGCCCAGACTAACCTCAAACTCATGACCCTCCTGCTTTTGCTTCCAGAACCCCGGGATTGCAGCTACAATATTGTTTTAATTAAAATATGGTTTTTTATTCTAACATGCAGCGGACACAAACTTACTACTCAAATATTTTATTGAAATTTTCTTAATTAAATATTTTGACACCATAATATGATGGCTGTAACTCAGATTTTCAAAAAGCTTTTTTGGCATCTTCAGAAAGTTTTGAGAGTGTGTAAGTGTCTCGAGAAAAAGTGATCTAGGCAGAAGGAGGAAAAAGAATGGAAAGAGAAGGTTCAAAGAGGAGGAAAGTTACGGTTATGTGCCGTAACTGATGGAGTCAAGCTTGTTTCTATTATCCTGTCCCACATAATGGAGACCATTTCACTCTATGTTAGAGGACGGCTAACACACACAATTAATTAGGTAATTAAAAATATTACTTATATTACATAATTCTGATATTATTACATCACTGTGACCACTAGATGGATCAGTGGATAAAAATGCCTGTCACCAAGCCTGATGACCTGTGTTCCAGCCCTGGACCTCACATGACGGAAGGACAGAAACTTCTGAAAACTCTTCTCTGACCTCCACATGTTCACACACACACACACACACACACACACACACACACACACACACACACAGAGGCAATGTTGTTATTGCTGGGTTTGCATGATGGTGGTTTGGAGAAATGTTAATGTCATACATCTTTGAGAGGAAGACAGGAGATAAACTCACCGGCCTCCTTGGGAGAGGAGCCTGACGCAGGCTGTGTGGCCGCAGTACAGAGCGTAGGCCAGGGGCGTGCTCTCGTTGATGTCCCTCAGGTTGCTGTCCATGCCCAAGTCCAGCAGTGACTGGACGCACTCTGCTTTCCCGGCAGCTGCAGCCCAGTGCAGGGGTGTCCTGGAGGAATACCAGAGGAGAAACATAAGGAGCTCAACAGAACCTTACAGACAGCTTAGCCACGGTCGGCTTCCACCCAGAGTCAGGCTCAAGGAGGACACTGCTATCCACAGAATGAAATGGTGTGTGTGAACCTGGTATAGGAATCTAGGGTGTGTAAGACGCTTCCTGCCACCTCTGTGCATTCTGTCTGCTCTCCCATCTCTGCCCTTCCTGAGGATTTCCTAGAAGAGGAAGTTTGAGTGGTTTTTAAGGCTCTCTGTGCCGCCTGCCTTCTAGGATCACTGACTCAGTTTACCCTCTTACAGCTGAGTCCATACTCCTTCTTGAACACCGAGTACATCACCCTCTTTTAAATCATTGTTAATTTAGTTGGCAAAATGATACTTTGATGTTTTCCTTTGCATCTCTTTGCTTACTAGTAAGGTTAAATTTGTCACTTGAATTTCTTCATTGAAATCACTCTTAAAGCCTTTTTTTTTTTTTTAAGGTAGATTCTCACTGTATAAGAAGGACTAACCTTCAATACATACTCTTTCTGTCTCAGCTTCCCAAGTGCGGGGTTTATAGGCATGTGCCACTATACCAGTTTCTATTGTCTATTTTTCTATTATAATATTACCGTTTTTCTTACTAATTTGAATGGGCTCTTTGCATACTAAAGACACTGACCATTTATAGGTCATCTATACAAACTTCAAAAATTTTTTTATTCAATCTTTAAATTTTTTAGTGATTTTCTATAAAAAAAAAAAAGGAAAGCATTCACATTCAATTACGTTTCATTTTATCTCTTTCATGTTCAGAAAGTCCTTTCTTAACCAGAAGACAGATATTCGCCAATACTTAACCATTTGTTAAATTATAAAACCAGTGTTTTCTGAATACAATAAAGAGGAATCAGAAAACAGGAAGAAATATTTACAAACCACATGTTCAACAAAAGGCTTATAATTAGAATACATAACATTTTTCAGTACTGAACAATAAGAAGACAGACTCACATGAAAAACAGCAAAGGATCAAGCAGCCATTTCATCAAAAAAGATGTGTGGGTGGCGAGACACTCAGGATGAGGTGCCACAGGCTCAAAACTACTTGTCAAGCCAGCGTGTTGGCACACACTTGAAGTCTTAGTACCCAGGAGGTTAAGGACAGGGATCTCTGTGAGTTTGAGTCCAGCCTGGGCTACATAGTGAGTTCCGGGTCAGTCTGCCCTGCAGAGTGAGACCCTGAATCACCAACGACAAAATTGTTATTGGAGAAATGCAAATTAAAATGGCGAGGAGATCCCACATGCCTGTAAAAATTATTCAAATAAGGCAAAACCCAACAAATCTTGATTATAGTTGATGCTGGCAATAAATGTAGAAGACCTGGAATTTGCCTATGATCTTAGTAGGAGTTTTATAGGATTAAATATATCCTGACTATGTGACCCAGGAATCCCACTCTAGATATCTAGGTAGAGAAATGAGAACTTACATTAACATAAATGCCTGCTCTCAAATGTTTATAGCAACTGACCATAACTTCCCCAAATGGAAGGAAACCACCATCCTTCCAGGGGTCAATGGATAAACAGTGGTTCCTCTACACTGTGGACTATGCCTCAATGACATAAGCAACAGGCTACCAGAGCGCGACAGCAGACCTGAACCTCAAGTGCATTCTCCTATGTGACACCAGCCAGTCTCAAAGGGTCCAACAGTGACCTTCCCTCTTCTAAAAATCTGAGCACTGACATGTTGGATGTTACAAACGGAAAATTCTATATCTGACCCTGTATGACAAGTCAAGGCTGAAGTACAAGGGCACTCAACATGTTTTATAGAATTACTCCCAGGCTGCGTGTTTAAACACACTTCATGCTTAGATTTGGCTTCATTTCAAGATGTCTTGTTACACGTATGAAAGTCTTCTCAAGTCCCAACAATTCAGAAGTCTGAAACACTTCCCATCATAGCATGGTGGCTAAGGGATGTGCAACCCACAGTCACATCTCTGTGACATTCTGAAAAGAAGAAACTATAGAGAGAGCTAATCTGTGGTTGCCAGGGCTTAGCATGAGAGTATGTGCCGCTATCCCAAGGCAACATGAGTTGATGTTGGAGTCAATGGCACTGTTAGGAATTTTGTTTGTGTTGGCATATAATCTATACATGTTAAAACTTACAGATGTGCACACATGTACGCACACAAAAGGAAAATTTTAGTGGATATAGATTAAAAAGAAAGTCACTATTTGGATTAAAAATAAGAAATGTGGTATGGCATGGTGCTCACATTTATAATTTCAGCATCCAGGAAGCTGAGGCCGAAGGCTTACAAATTTGAGGCCAGCCTAGGTTATGGAGTAAGTTCTTATCTCTGGGTATGTATTTTTCTAATACATGGCACACTTTTCTCAACACCATTTATTAATGTGACCGTATATTCTTTTCTGCTTTCTTCTGTCCTCTCTTTAAAGGCATGGCTGACTTTGTACTTAATCTTAGAGGAGAGGTGTGGCAGGGCAAATATGATAAATCATGCTTTCCTGCATCCAAAAGCCAGACTCAGAACTGGGGACAGATGGGACGCAAGGCAACGTATTTAACTGTTCATGGAAAGGGAGAGGGAGCTGGCCTCCCCAACCCCGGACAGAGAATTCTTCCTCAGATGTCAAGGCAGATGTGACATAGGGTGCTAAAGGCCTGAGAATGTCACTCCGTAGTAGAGCAGTAGAGCATTGCCTAGCATGTGCCAGGCACTGGATTTGAACCCCAGTACCATTAAAAGAGGTTGTTAAGAACACAAGGGACGCCGGGTGGTGGTGGCGCACACCTTTAATCCCAGCACTCGGGAGGCAGAGCCAGGTGGATCTCTGTGAGTTTGAGGCCAGCCTGGTCTACAGAGTGAGATCCAGGAAAGGAGCAAAGCTACACAGAGAAACCCTGTCTCAAAAAAAAAAAAAAAAAAAAAAAACCTCCAACAACAACAACAAAAAGAACAAACACAAGGGACTACCAGGCTAAACAACAATAGACACCAGAGCTCAGCTTCTTTGGTAGAACTACTGGGAGGGTGGGGCCTGTAATGTCTGAGTCACGTAACAAGCCAAGATGACCTGTAGCCTAAGATCGCTATGCTCCCAAGTAAGGCTCAGAGAGATTGAAGGCTCATCAGACCCAAGAGGACACAGAGAAGCATCAAGAGGGCCACCTCCAACCTCTATTCTTAAATATTGTGGTATTGTGAAAATTCTGTAATCAGCCGAAAGAGATGGAGGTTACGTTTTCCACGAGTCTAAATAGATGATAAAATTGGGAAACCACAGGGCTGGTGTGATGGCTCCATGGTAGCATGCTTGCCTAGCCTACTGAGGGCCTAGGTTCAATTCTAGATTTCCATACTGGGAAAAAATGATTAAATTATAGATAATAAAAATTGTGATAATGTCTAAAAACCTTGGTTGTGACAAGGCATTGCTACTTGACATAGTGAATATTCCACTCTTTCCCTTGGATTCACTTTAGATACATTTAAGAAAAAATGAGAACATTTCACTCACTGTGTTGTACCTACTGGAACTCCTACCCCCCTTAAGGGTCTCAATCCAACGATTACTGAAAGGATGATTTGACAATATCACGCTCTTTATTATATCATGGACAGTTCTGGGTAACAGTGTACTGTGATTTTTTTTCAAAGCTCCATGAGAAGCAAGAATTTGGATAGTTCATTTTGATACCCTGTTCCAGGAGGTCTTTACGTGCTCCAGTGTGCATCAGACCTTTTTATCTAAAGCAGAAGTTTGAGTCTCCAGCTTAGCTAATGTGCATACAGAGCTAACCTTGGGTGGGGGTGGAGTAAGAGCATTGTCATATCTCTGTATACACTGCAGACAGAGTGTATTCACTGTAAATAAATACTTCTCCCTTAGCCGTGGCTATGTGTTGTCCTGTGCTCATGTGGTTTCGGATGTTGTAGACTTGTAATTGCTTGGAAATGTCCATCAGATCAGAGGTGATGAGTAGCCGTGGCCCTTAGGCAGAGGTGATGTGTAGCCATGGACCTCTGCAGTCATGGACATTAGGCTTCTGGAAAATACCGTGTAAAGGGACCAGACACCTGAATCTGCTATAGTTTTAGTCAAGATTGGATAGGCCATATTTTGGATGATGCAATGTCACACTATCAGGTTCTGGTTTCTCCCCCCGACTCCCCTAAGAACTGGGATTAGGAAGGCAATGTGATGTCATTCCTACGAATGAGGTCTCCCTTGCAGAAAATTACCAAGCTTCCTGTTTCTCAGTCAGGAAAGGAAGCAGTTCCGGGGCAGCAAGGAAGGACACAGGATGGCAGGCCTCTCTTGGGCCTTGTTCTAGGACCTGGGCTCTTGGCAGAAGGGCATGCAGGAGAGAGCCAAATAACCCTCAGGCATAGGAGCACCTGGAGGTGGGCAGAGAAGGGCCTTGGACCCAAGTATGTAGAGAGTGTCTAGGTACATTGTGTGGCCCCTTGGTCCCCACACTCAGAGTGTGTTCTCTGTGTGTTAACCCCCATCTCCACATTATGACACCTTAGAGGGCAATGTATCATCAATACAGTGACCTATCACACTGTGTCTGAATGTGCAGTGACCTATCACACTGTGTGTCTGAATGTGCAGTGACCTATCACACTGTGTGTCTGAATGTGCAGTGACCTACCACACTGTATCTGAATATGCAGTGACCTATCACACTGTGTATCTGAATATGCAGTGACCTATCACACTGTTTCTAAATGTGCAGTGACCTATCACACTGTGTCTGAGTGTGCAGTGACCTATCACACTGTGTCTGAATATGCAGTGACTTATCACACTATGTCTGAATGTGCAGTGACCTATCACACCATGTATCTGAATGTGCCGTCATCTGTCACACTGTATCTGAATGTTACAGGTAAGATTTGTTTCATTTTCATAAAAGAGCTCTCTAGACAATATTTTACAAGATGAGGCAACAGCAGATTATTCTCTCCATTTAGAGGAAAATTGCCAGTGACTTCAGCTGATGGAGGCTTACCAACACGCAACAATTCACTCCGAAGGTTTGTGAAATAAACCCGGCCTCACACTTGCTAAGACCAGCTGTTTTAATTCCTCTGGCCATCGTGGGAGGGGTCCAGAGAAACAAGGGAACACATTGACAGCCTCTGACTTGCACACTGAGGCAAATTTGTGACACAGAGGCTGTGTTGAATGAGCTACATTTTCTTTCCTATCTCAAGGCTGCAGGATGATCCTACAAGCTGGCCTCAGCCATCGCAATGAGGAGTGGAAGGTCAGGACCTCTGTGACCGAGCAGAGGCCAGCACTGGGTGATGAGGTGGTCCCTGCGTGGTGAGGGATGATGGGTGGAAGGGAACAGGCCTGCTCCAGCTGTCAGTACCTCAGGGTTGATTTGTGAAGCCTGTAAACAGCTCAGGAGAATTGCCAGACACACGCAGGGAGGAGAACCCAATAATAGACTGTCCTCCCTGGAGAGAAATGGGTTGTTTATGGAAGTGAGTTATGATCTCATAGACTGATGAAATTCGGGACATTTAAAACATGGAGGCTGCTTCTGTGTTATTTGTGATTTGGCCTTAGTCTTAGGTGAGTACCATGATGTTTAAAATACCGTAGATGTATTATGTGACTTAGTTTTTTCCCTACATTTATTTAGTGTGTGTGTGGATGTGTCTGTGCATGCTTGTGTACCATGGCACTTTGTGGGAGTTAGTTCCCTCCTTCGTGTGTGTGTGTGTGTGTGTGTGTGTGTGTGTGTGTGTATGAACTCAGTTTATCTGACGTGGTGACGAGTGCCTTTATCTCCTGAGCCATCCTGCTGGCCATTTAAAAAACGGGGTGCGAGGCCAGCCTGGGCTACCAAGTGAGTTCCAGGAAAGGCGCAAAGCTACACAGAGAAACCCTGTCTCGGAAAAAACAAACAAACAAACAAACAAACAAAACCCGGGGTGTTTTGGAGACAGTCTCGTTCCATTGCCCATGCTGTAGTCCATGTCAGCCTCTGACTTGTAGATCCCCCACCTCAGCCTCCTGGGGGCTATGGTTCCAGGGTGCACCACCTTGCCAGTTCTCTGGCGTCCGCTAATAGGGCAGGCTCGTTCTCCAAGCCCCTCCCCGACCTCCACACCTCTCTTCGCGATCTTATTTTTCTTCTCCTCCCACAAAATCTTCCTTTGGAAAAAGGAAAAGAAAGGAAAAAGACAGACAGAAGTCGCAGAGATGGAGATGCCCCTAAGCCTGTGATGATTCTGAACAGTTCAATTATGAACAGAAACTCACAGTTTCACAGAAAAGCCAGAGTCTCGTGTCCAACATGAGAATACAAGACAGAGGTGCGGGAATGGCTTACCCAGGGGTTTGGGGGTGAGGGAGGGGGAGGTTTTGGGGGGGGCTCCTAGAAACTACAGTCCCTTTTTCTTCCGTTCTCCTCTCTGGGTTTGTTTCCTTCCCAGAAGCTCAGGCAAATGGATTTTCTTTGTTAGTTGTGTGGTTCTGCAGAATGGGGAGCTGCTTCCATAGAAGCTGCTTTTTTGAATTAGGCACACCTCCTTTCATCTCTTAATGCTGCAACATATTCCGTTCTCTTTATGGCTCTTTTACAAGAATTCTAGTCCAACATCCTCTTTCTTACCTTCTCAGGGTCAACGCCTGCTCTTAAGAAAAAGCATCCTTCAATTTTAATTAAAATCATCAGGCTAGCCACCTCCAGCTCCCAAGACCCATGTGGAAGACAAGACACCCCCCCACACACACACACACACATACGCTGAAAGAATTTCATATATGGGGGCGGGGACACTCTTATGGGACTTCTAAGATTGTCATGCTCTCAGTTCTCACTTTAACGGAAAATGGTGAATACACACACTCAGATAGTTTGTAATTCTTACACGTATTTTTTAACCGTTTTGCTAATTGTTATTTTTTTCCTTGCATTTCCCGAGACTCAGTGCCTAAACTAAATAAAGGTTAGTAAGCCCGTCCTTGGAGGTGATAGGTGCTACATTTACAAGATGCAGGTGCAGTCCTTTACTCCGTTACTAATGACCCCTGAGACTAATCATTTTCCCTTTCTGGACCCAGCTTCCTTTTCCAGCCAATATATCACCAATGACTGAAAAAAGAAAAAAAAAAAAAGCCTCCTTAGTAAGGCCCATGGTTTTGAATTAAAAGGCCCCTCGTCCCTTATCTCACACTCTGGATAGGAAATTGTGGGCATATGATATAACTCAGGAGAGAAGAAGGAAATACAAACTTCATTAGTCAGTTCAATAGAAAGCCTTCTGAGAACACTGCAGATGTTTAGTGAAAAGTGGAAACTCTGACAGTACGTAGTCATGATTTCTGTTCACAACAATGATTTTTCCTCCTCTTACTAAAATAGACGGAGGCTTGTCACAGACACCCGTGTTACCAGCAGTAAGGATATAGGTGGAAAGGATGGCGCCTTCGATGTCTTTATTTTAAGATTGACATTAGGGGACAATGACTGGAGTTCCCAGCACTCTCTGAGTTGCCATGGATACCTGTCATCCATATCCAGGGCCTGCAGGTTACACTCAGGGACTTTTGCCAGATCGGTAATAATGTCGCCGAAACCCGAAGCTGCTGCGATGTGGACACAGGTCTTTCCACTGTCGTCGTCACAGTTGATGATGGACGGTCCCTGGTGGTGACTGAGAATGATAGAGCATAGGACTCTATTTCCACTCTGAAAAAGGAGCCAGAGAAAGCCTATCATGAACAACCCTGTGCATGCGTGGTGAGAGAGAGATGGGAGGGGGGGATGCTTTGAAAGATGGAGGATGGCTAAAGGGAAAAAATAGAAACAAAGAAGAAAAAAAAAGAGTGGTCATTTCCCTAGAAGATGAGGACCGAGAGAGCCTTAGTTTACATCAGCTTGCCGAGTACTTGTAGGCATGTCCAGCCCTTGGACTTTCCAGCATGACTACGCTATTGTAAGTTCACACTCTAGAATGACATAAATTATCCCCAAAAAAAAATTTGCAAAAAAAAAAAAATTCTCACAATGTTTTAAGTAAGTTTACAGTCTTGTGATGGGCGAGGCAGGCTTGGAAGGATAAAAAGTTCAAAAGGAGTGAACTTCATGATCATGTGGCAAACCACATGTGGAGAACTTTGCTATGACCTCTCTCTTTTCTCTTCTATTTCCGCTCCCCCCCCCCGTGTGTGTGTGTGTGTGTGTGTGTGTGTGTGTGTGTGTGTGTGTGTGTGTGACTGTCTGTCTGTCTGTCTGTCTCCTGGCTTCTTGGAAGTTCAAAGCTTGACTTTAGTGACATGGAGCTTAAGTGTGGTGACTCGTTTTGACTTTTGGTCTGCTCTGTTGGGGCCAGTACAGAAACCGAATCCCAAACAATGCTACCTATAATTTGTGTTTAAGTTCTTCAACAAATTTCCATTTATCTCACTTCTCTGCCAGGAGTTTTGTTTCCAGTCGGGGCTCATGTCTTCCACACCTGGTGGACTGATGGTGGACTTGATGACCAACGTCAACTGACGTCAGAGCTAGCCTGACAGATGGGTCACCTAGACAACAAATTGCTCACTAGATCTGCTCATTGACTTCCTCGTGTCACTGGACAAGGTGGCCAGGAGGATGCTTGTACACTTAAATTCAACATTAACACAACGAGGAGGAGGAGTCTTGTGTCATTACACAAGGCTGCAGAGGAAAGGCCTGTTCCTCAGTCTGGCATGGTGACTTGGAGTTGCTCCTTGGGTTAGAGATTTCTACCACACCTCCAGATCCTCCCAGGTGCCCAGGATCCATCCTGTAACAGGGCACATGCTGAGATTTTCCCTCCCAAAGAACAGAGAAAGCACCCCACCCCACCCCACCCCCTCCATGGAAAGCCCCACCCCTACCCGCTACCCCCACTGCCAGAGCAGAAGGCAGCGGCAGAGACTGGGCAAGAGTTGGGCTCCTGACACAGGAGTTTGAGGGTTAGAATTTTGTGTATGCAGACTCCATTGCCTAATCTGACTTGACTTATAAAACAAACTGGTAAGTTCAAGGTGCTGACCACAGAACACTGTATCTCGGGTGTCTCGGGCAGAGGGCTCCCTCAAGGACCTTGGTCACGTAGCTGGAAGGCAGATCTTTCTCTTTCTCTCACATGACCTCTTACATCCCTTTCCTCTTTCCATCTAGCCTCCTGTTCTACATAACTTGGCTATAACTCCATCACCTATTTGTGTCTGTCACAAGAAGCCTGCTAACCTGAACACATAGACAAGGGGCTTTTATATATATACAATATATATATATTTTTTTTCTAGAGTCATTCATATATTACTCAATGCATTTTGAAGAGATCTGGAATACAGTTGAGAACAGTCAAGAGACATTTTTCTTGGAAAGTACCCGCTCCCGGAGAAGGAAAACAGAGATGAGTGCCAGCGTGGGGAATTGGTTTTGTTTACAATTTCCTGGAAGAGAAAAGGCCTTCGGGTTGCCAAGGTGATTCAAAGGGCAGGACAGCTCTGTTCCATCTCCCCTCTTTGTAGGAGAGGGGCATTAAGGACAGATGGAAAAACAAAAGGACACACCTCACCTCTCTCTCCTTCTCCTCGCCTGACCCCTGGGAGGAGTCACTCAGCAGAGGCTACAGCCTAGGACACCTGCATCAGCCCCTTCTGAACTCTCTCCAACTTGTCCCATGTGTCTTGGAGGCCAGAAGACCATAGGCCACCCCTCTGAACGAGGACAGGCAAGACATCGCACCTGGCTTTACACTTTTCTCCCAACCTGCCGTCTGTTATTGTGCATTTTCCGGATAATTCCTTTGCCTGCTCCTGGGTCTCACAGACGACATTAGCGCTTGCAGTTTCATTTTCTTTGTGAGCTTTCCTCAGAAATAATGGCGATAGCTGTGTGCATGAAGCGAAAGCTTACTGCTGAGTTCCTTCCTAAACCCCTCCGGACAACAACCAACCCCGGGAGGTAGGTCAGAGGTCAGAGAACAGAGGCTTTTAAGAGGGACTAAGGAATTTGCTCCTGGTCACAGCTCAGAATTAGCTGAGCCAGGATCGACTTGGAGAGTTTGTACCCTTGGATCTTTGAGGAATCGGCCCCGCATGTTCACACTGAGGAAGCCGAAGTGAGAACAGCTGTTCGGACCTGTCACATAAGCAATCGCGATGAGCCTTGCCAACTGGGGACTGAGTTAATCAGGAGGCATTTAAAACGCCTCTCCTAGGAAGGTTGCCATGGCGTATCCTCCTGAGAATCTGAGGAACCCCAGAGGCACTGAGTTACAAGCCAAGACCAGGGACGATGACCTTTTGGTTGACACACAGCATTCCCTGCCAGCACTCTAGATGGTGTCAGGGAAAGGCAGGCTCAGACAGTGAGGGCCAGGGAGGTCACAGAGACCCTCTAGTAGGAGAGCAGAAGTAGAAATGCCCGGATGGGGCCATAAGAGGAACAGAGATTGAGTCCACATCCAGTGGGGATATGCTATCACATCAGGAAGCAACAAGATCACACACAGCCTGTTCTTGAGCTCTTGGATTCTGCCCTGGGAGGCTAGATCAGGGTCGTGGACTGTTTTGTTGTATTTATTCTCTTGGCCTTTGCTGATGGGTAATCACCATCATGTTGCCTTCACGTGCTCCAAGAGCTGTTGTGTTCTAGCTATTTTCTCTTTATCCCTTATGAGCAGAGAGCACTGGAGAGGAGCTTGACTCCAAAGAAGGCTTGCCAAAGAGAAAGCTGAATTAATAGATAACAGTGTTGCTATATGTGAAAAAAAAAAATTCGAATATCCTGACTGTGGACTCCTTTGACTTTAGATACCCGTAGTGGTTTGAACGAGGATGGCCTCCATAGGCTCATATATTTGAATGCTTGGTCCCCAGTTGGTGGAACTGTTTTGGAGGGGTAAGAAGATGAGGACTTGTTGGAGGAGGCAGGCCACTTGGAGTAGGCTTTGAGGTTTCCAAAGCCCAAACCAGGTCCAGTCTTGTGCTCTCTCTCTGTGTCTCTGTATCTCTGTGTCTCTGTGTCTCTCTCTCTGCCTCATGCCTGTGGATTAGGATGTAAGCTCCTAGCTGTTGCTTCCGCACCACGTCTGCCTGCCTGCTGTCACACACTCCTCCATAGCGACCCTCTGAAACTGTAAGCAAGCCCCCAATTAAATGCTTTCTTTTGTAAGAATTGCCTTGGCCGTGGTGTCTCTTCACAGCAATAGAACAGTCACCAAGGCAGGGTCCTTTGGAAGAAGTTCATTGGGAGGCTGTGTGAGCAGTTAGTTCATTATCAGCATATGTCTGGGGCACTATAATGTCTAATCTTCGTTATCAACTTGAGTGGACAAAAAAAATCATCAAATCGTCATGGAAACATATTTCCTGGTGTGTCTGTGACGATGCTTCCTTCCATAGAAGTTTAAGAGGATGGTAGACTCAACCCGAATGTGAGCAGCGCTATGCCATGGGTGGAGTCCTGGTGCTGAATAAAAAGGAAAAAGGGGGCTGAGCACCAGCGTTCATCCCTCTCTGCTTCCTGACTGCGGATGCCACGTGACCAGCTGCCTCCAGCTCCTGCCAACACGCTTCCTTTCACGAAGCACTGCATCCCCTTAAACGTCAAGCCAAAACTAACTCTTTTATCCTTAAGGTGCCTTTGTTATGGCAACAAGGATGATTACTAATGCGAAATAAGTTTTATGGCACCTTCCCTTTACCGCAAAGTCTGTTATTCGTCCTACCTTGTATGAGGGGATGTCAACATCACTCATCATGTGCTAGTGAGTGTACAAAGCAGAGGCCACTGTGCTGTGTTAGTGTCTGTGCCTTAGTCACGTCCCCTTAAAGTCTTGAGTATTTTTATGATGTGCTGTAGCCGGACACATAAGACAGGAATGGAGATAGTGAGGCTGCAGTTTAAGCACTGGAGAATGGGCTCCAGGCTAACCAGCGGGAGGAAAGAATGCACGTAGTACCGCTGAACTATTAGAATCGGAACTGTTCTCAGAGTCCTAACTACTGCAGTAAGACAGGAGAATGGAGGGAGAGGGGGATGACTGGGAAGGAAGAGCTGTAATGACTTCTTGTGTCTAACTGTGGCTGTCCAGGTAGATTTTCGAAAAGACAGATGGAACTCAAAGCCCTGAAACTAAGAAACAAATGTAACACGTTTTCAGAATATAAGACACATATCATACAACAGACAAGATTGTTTTTCTATATATTGGCAATGAACAAATAGAATTTGAAATTAGAAACTATTGTTTTGGATGTGGTTTGTCTCTGATTCAAAATTCATTCTGAAATTTAATTTTCAATATAATGCCATTTGTTTGTGTTTGTATGTGTGAGAGAGAAGGAGGGAGGGAGAGGGAGAGATTGAGATGATGGATGGATAGATAGATAGATAGATAAATAGATAGATAGATGATAGACAGACAGATAGATAGATAGATGGATGGATAGATAGAGAGATAAATAAATAGATAGATGGATGGATAGATAGAGAGATAAATAAATAGATAGATGGATGGATAGATAGATGATACATAGATAGATAGATAGATAGATAGATAGATAGATAGATAGATAGATAGATAGATTAAATAGATAGACAGATAGATATACGGAATGGATAGTGTATGCCTGTGTATGTGTACTGGGGCACACTCGTATGTGTGCATGTGGGGGCAGGGCAGAGGTTGAGTGTCCTTCTCTGTC